AGAATGCTCTTCATGAATTGTTTCAAATGTGTGCTCGTGTGCTATGAATTATGTGTAAATCCCAAAAGATCAACTTCTGGATGTTATCCAAATATAAAGTCTAAACTTTGGCACCAATTAATAGCTTATACTAGGGGTGTAAACGAGTTGAGCTGAGCTCGAGTTACCCCTTGCTTGAGCTTGAGCTTGATTAATTAATCGAGTTCGAGCTTAAGCAAGAGCTTTATTGAACGAGTTCGAGCTTGAGCAAGAGCTTTATTCAACGAGTTCGAGTTGGCTCATTTATAATGAAAGAGAGAAAATAATTATGATTTAATAAATTATTATAACAAAATTATAAAAAGAATGCAAAATTATTAAAAAAAATAAGAATAATTTAATATAAGAAAATGAATATAATTTTCAAATATTTTCAACAATTTTGTACTTAACATTCTAAATCTTAATATATTATAGTATATTTTATATTATTTTTAAATGTTCCGGTTCATGAGCTAAGGAGTTGAGTCGGGGTTGGCTCAAGCTTGGCTTGTTAGCTCATTGAGCTCCCTCACGAGCCATTTATCAAGTCAATCCCGAACCGGCTCACAAGTCGGCTTGACTCACTTGCACCCTTAGCTAACACTTGTCCCAAGATGGGATTTAATTTCACAAGATAAGCATAGGAAAGTCTCAACATAAAGATATGGATATTAAAGAGAAACATAAACATAAAAGTAATAAATAAGAGAAATAATACTACAGAAAATTAGCTTTGCGGATAAAATGATTTTTACATGATTCGGCTTTACAAAGCCCGAGTCCATGCCAAAATTCATTTCATAATCTAGGATTGCTGCACTCGAGCAATACTCATTTGCTCGATGGGTGGAGAATCCTGCATCCATACCCTAGGTTGTTGTTTTTCTTTTATTTTTAGATTAATTTTTTATCATTCTAACCAAAAATAACAAAAGATCCCTATATTCTAAATGTAGTACATTCCAAATACTGCATTTAAAATTCTCTTGAATTTTAAATACTTGTAACAAAACAACCCTTAAGCAAATTAGGCAAATCATTAAAATGATTAGGTTGAATTATAAGATTGCATGCTTAAATTTTAATAAATTTTCTTCAAAATAAATTTGCAAACTAAACATGTTTAACATTAAAAAAAAAGGTTATTTAAAAATATATGATAAATTTTTTAAGTAGCTTATAATTATAAAATTATAGGGTTGAAAATTGAAATATAACATTTAAATTACTTGAAAAAAAATTAATTTAGCAAGTTAATTTTTAGTTGTTTGCTCGCTTCAATTTTAATTTCATTATTCTCTTATACGTGAAGCAAAAAAAAAAAAAAAAATCCTATTCTAAGATTACATGCCATGAAGGCTGAAAGAAGAAAATATAAGTCTGTGTAATTAGGTATTTTGCATATAAATGCTCTAATATAAATAAGAAAAAGTACCTGAGCTATAGAAATACATGCTCAGACTCCAAAATCTCCATACAAAAAAAAAAAAAAAAAAAGCAATAAGATATAGGCTAGGAAATCCTTCTGCCCATGGTCCTTGCCACCTAGTTCAAGTATGTATATTTGGTCCTATCTAACATTAGCTATATCATCCGGGTGCTCCTGGAACTAGGTATTCTAGGATTTAGTCTAAAATATATATTAAATTGGGAACCTTTATTTGCACCTTATAGTGCACATAAAGCTTTTCTAAATTAAAACATTTTATAGGAGTTTAAAATGCTAGAAAGTAAACAAAATCTTGCACTTTATATATCAAATCCCATAAATAAATTATATAGAATCACATTTTATAACAATAATGCTTGAGATAGTATTTTTAAATTTTGAAGCACAATCCATGTAAAAAGAAAACTTTAAATGATCATACATCTCATACCTACAAGAAGAATATATCCTATTAAAGTGCAAAAAATAGTCAAATCACCAATCATATCCATCCTAAATAGTCATATAACGAGCCATTTCATACACCAATAAGATCCTCTAGCAAAATATTGACCTGGCTACATCCACTATATACTGAATGGCAAAGAAGATATAAATAATCATAACACCTAAGTGTGTGAACAAAAAATTGAAGTGTAATAAGTGTCAACTCGTATGACTGTGATGGATTTCCAAACTGGCTTTTGGCCATACAAATGGTATAAAAATTTATTAAGATGACGTACCCTAGGTTGTTGGTATTCCTAAACAGTTATATCTAATCATTATTAGGGTAGGATGATCCTCATTATTAGATGAATCATAACCCAATAATGACAGTTAACCTATCATAGCCACATGCTAATTATTAAAACCTAATGGTTAATCTATCTAGCCAATTTATATAGGCTGACCTCATACATATGTACATACAGTAATATTAGGGTAATATAGTTGATACCATCCTCTATCTAGCTCAAAATTCATTTGTTTGAATGTAATACAAATACTAGAAAGATAAAAGATTCTAAGCATTAAAAAAGAGCTATAAATGGCCAAAGTGCAAGGTAATCCCAAATAGAGACAGTTTGCGTAGAAGAAGAGGAATGTTTGGGCATATGTCTCTAGCCAACGCTAAAAGTGTTCAACTATAAGCTGTGACTGAATAATAGAATGACTTGGTCAAACTATCCAACAAAGTCAATATTAAAATCAACCAAGTATAATCTGGCTAGGTCCCTAAAGAATATTCCTAGATGGAAGGTAAATAAATAAAGGTAGCAAGTTCAAAAGGGTATGAACTTATTCAAAAATGAAAGGGTTGTTTGGTTTAAAGTAGAATGCAAGGTAAAACTTTGATGCATTTAGAATTCATCTTCTAAATTATTTTTGGCTTATTTGGAATTCCTCAGATTTTAGCGAGTTCCAAATACAACGAAAATTCATTGAGATTGGCGCCGCTCATTGGCGCCACGCGTTTGCCACCACCACTAGCTACCCGCTCGCCACCACCGCCTGCCACCACGGACTGTTGATAGCTCAATCAGCAGAAGCCCACCACCGTTAAGCACCACCGCCCGCCAGCACTGTCCACCATAAGCAGCCACCCTCCTCGACCAGCTCGACTGCCGTCAACGGCTACCAACACCAGACACCGCAGCAACCATCCACCACCACCGCCGCTGGCTCCACCATCCACCACCGTTGTCGGCTGCCACAATCCACAACCGTCAATATTAGCCACCTGTCATCACCTTTTTTGCACTTTACATTACATTCATTTTGTTTCAAATAAAAAAAAATCTCATGCATTCTTTGTACACTCATCCATATAACTCTAAAGCATTCCTATTACACTGTATTCCTTTTTCAGCCAAACAAAGAAATCCTTAGTCAAAAGATCATACCTAAGATAAGGGTAAACCTAATCAAAAGTGCAAGACTAGAGTAGGGATAGATTTGGGCCTGGTTGAATCAGGATAAACTTATTTAAAAGTGCAACTGTGTTATGATAGCATAGCCAAAAGTGCATAACAAGGCTAAGGATGGACTTGACCAAAACAACATTTGAGCAAAATGCCATTAAAAGGGAGCTTCGCCTTTGCCATGCAGCCAAGTTGGCTCCCTGAAATTCACCTATTAAGTGGACAAGTAGCATGCACATAGGCATTGCCTAGCTTACGAGGCAAGGGCAAAATGACTTCTAAATGAACTTTGCCTTTCATTTTTTGACTGCTATAGCAGCAGTTGTTCAAAACTAATTCTTATTTCAATTTTTGGCTCTTATTTTCTAAATAATTGAGTTCTCACATCAAGCTCAATCTATAGTTTGAAATTATGTGAGGAATTTGTTGTGATCCTTCAATTTTCTTAATTGCTTTGACATGCCACTTATGCTAATTTTATTATGCATTAATTATTTTATTAATATAATTGCAAGATATTTGTTGAGGTTTACATGTTAAATATTTTAAATTAATTTTTTTAACAATAGTAATTTTTTGCATTCCCCTCTAAAGACGAGCCATTTAAAAAACAGATGAACAAAACAACATAGCAAATTACGGCAAATTATTGCATCCGGTCAACGGACACGGAGATAGGTTCGGATTTTAATAAAATATTATTTTAAATTAAGCGAGTCAAAAGCGCAGGTGAAGTGCAAGTAAAACGCATGTAAAGCGTAGGTAAAGCGCGGGTCAAAGCGCAGTCAAAAGCGCAGGTAAAGCGCAGTCAAAGCGCAACTAAAAGCGCAGCCAAAAGCGCAAGTGACGTGGCAAATTTTTATTGGATGTCCGAACCTATTTTCCGCGTCTGGTGACCGGATGCAATAATTTGCCGCAAATTACAGCGCATTTTGCCCTGCCTCGCAGGTGCCGTACTACCCGTATGGCAGAGCAAAAACACATTTTTAAATGGCTTTTGCTGCAATTTAAAATAATTTTGGTTCTCACCCCAACGACTAATTCGACTTGCTCGTGTTCTCTTTAAATTTCTCCTTTAGTTGGCAAAAATCAAATTGATGCCATCAACGATGACAGCATTCACCTGCCCTATTTTACATAGACAAACTTATAACAAAACAGCTTAATCACTTGGTGATGGAGCACCATTATCAGTTCAATTAAGCTGTTTAAGCAACCATAAATACCCTTTCCCGTAAATAGCTGATAATTGTAACTATCTGCAAATTTGGTAACAACGACATAACATGAAGTCAAGGAAAATGTAGCAAAATCCACCAAAACATCAAATTTAAAGAAAATTTCACAGAAAAAACAACGTCACCAAAACCCTATTTGTTAAATCTAGCCAAACAATCAAATACGCCTAAAATTTTGATATTTTCGAATTTCCATTAACTTTCCACAGATATCGGAAGGCACGAAATCGATATTAAGGTACGGATTGGCATTAAAGAACAACAGACAAAACCCTCCTACTTCAATAACACCAGACCATAGCCTAGTAGACGACGATGACTTGGTCGCGCTTGTTGTTAAATCGCTACGAATGGTAATCAAATGAATCAGAAGAGACGAAATCGAACCTTTATCACCACATTCCACATGTCTACGAGTTGTTCCTTGCTACCCATTGGACGGAACGAGGATGTCGAAGCCATCGTGCCGGTGGGAGCCGGAGATAGATGAAAGAGGAAGACTGACCTAACCTAAATCTAACATGGTTAGTAGCAAGACTGATCGTCGTAGAGAAGAATATTGGAACGAGGACCAGCGAAATTATGAGGCGCAGGGCGAGAATAACGGACGGACTGCGTAGTTTTGCGCATGGCGGTCCTTTTATAGTGCCGGTTTCTTCTCGACTAAGCAAGCAATGGCTCATTTTTTTTCCTTTTTCTTTTATAATCAAGCTATTTTAAGTCAAATGAATCAACTCAAAAAAAAAAAAATTAATTTTGGATGAAACAAATTAAATTTAATTATTTAAATATGTAATTATAAATATTATATTAAAAGTGATGCATATATTATATAATAGATGCCATAGATTTTATGAAAATATTGTGAACTATGACTTTATTTGGGACGACTTTTTTTTATTTCGTAAAGCAGTTTTTTAATAAAAAACTTTAATTTTTGTACTAGGAAACTGCTTTAAGAAGCAGTAAGAAAGCCGTCACAAACGAAGCCTATATCTCGAGTGGACTCTAATTATATTTGAACAAGTCAAAAACAAATTGAAATTGATTTCAAGCATGGAGTAGAGCTATAAATAGTAGATTTTGAGCTTAGCTAAGTTGAGCAATTTTTAGGCTGGTTTCAAATGTGGAGATGACTATCAACTCAAACATGATAAGAAAGAAAATTTTAGGTTGCTTAAGGATAACTCACAATTTTTGTTTTAATGTGTTAAAAGTAGATGAGATAATTTTCATTATTATATTAATAATTTATTAATTTGATCTTGATAGTTATGAACATAATGATTGATGTTATTAGCATGATGACTTTAAATAGTGAGAAAGACAATTTGAAGGGAAAGAATTATTTTATTTGATTTTGTATTACAAACTTTGTGTAATATTTTAGATACAAAAGAGTGAAGAAAAAAGATAATGAATTAATATATGTAAGGAATGTCAATTTAATATATTGATTAAATGAAGGAAATTAAAAGAAGAAATGAATTAACTCTCATAATGAATGTTAATTAAAACATAGACCGGATGAAAGAAAATCAAAATAAAAGTGAATTAACACCCATAATAAATGTCAATTTAATATATAGACCAAAAGAAAAAAATTGAAACTAAGGAAACAATTGATTTATTTGATTTCTTCAATATGCCCCCTTAAGATGGAGTCGCAAACTTAACACATAGATTGTTGAGTAGATGATGAGAAAAATGCTTAGTATTGTTGCGTCCTGGAGTATTCGCGGCGGTAGAGAAATATTTAGTTTAACGTATTAGCATTGTACGAAGATCCAACACACAAGCAAATAAGTGAGAGGGAGTAGCATTCATAAGAGACACCAAAGTTTTTACGTGGAAAACCCCTGAAAAGGGGGAAAAACCACGAGGTCTGGCCCAGTTTGAATGAATCCACTAGTATTTGCAGTCGATTACAAATGAGGCCCTTCCTTGGGAGAAGGCCTTGGATTGATGTAGCAAATGTACATCATATAGATTGCATTACATGGTAGGAGTTACATATACATGTTTGTTTGGCCTGAAGGACCGTAGTCGGCAGGAGACCTTAGTCGGCAGGACTGTTGTTTGTTGATGGAGGTCAGAAGGATCATAGTAGGCGACGAAGGCCTGAAGGACCGTAGTCGTTAGAAAACTGGGGTTTGAAAGACCGTTGTCTAGTGATGTTGGTCGTATGACCGTAGTAGCGACAAGGTCAGAAGGAACGTAGGCGTAGGAGACAAGGATCAGTGTTAGACCCAGTGTCACTTGTAAGATCGGGTTGATCGTCTGCCTTGGTAGGATGTTGTCTGAACGTCAGCCTTAAGCAGGATGTGGGTCTTCAGCGGGACGTAGAAGCTTGAAACATCGCGGCCTTAAGCGGGACGTCGATCTTCAGCAGGATCGTAGGACTGAAACGTCGGGCCTTAACGGGACGTCGATATTCAGCAAGACGTAGGACTGAACGTCGGGCCTTAAGCAGGACGTCGGTTTCAACAGACGTAGGGACTGAATGTCGGCCTTAAGCAGGACGTCGGGTCTTCAACAGACTAGGACTGAACGTCGGACCTTAAGCATTGGTGCCAATGAAACTCCGGCGAGGGCTTCGGTGGTGTCCGGTGAGGTTCCTGTGGTGCCGGCGGGACTTCTGCGGTGTCCGGCGGTGGTCCGGCATCCGTCAGAGAGGACTTCTTCCTTCTCTTCTCTTGGCAGAGACCGGGCAGTCAGAAAGACTGGTGTTTGTTGATGGAGGTCGAAGGATCATAGTTAGCGACGAAGGCCTGATGAGGACCGTAGTCGTTTAGAAAACTGGGTCGAAAGACCGTTGTCTATTGATGTGGTCGGACGGACCGTAGAGCGACAGAGGTCAGAAGGACCGTAGGCGGTAGGAGACAAGGAATTCAGGTGTTAGCACCAGCGTCACTTGGAAGATCGGTGTTGATGGTCTAGCCTTGGGTAGGACGTTGGGTCTGAACGTTCGGGCTTAAGCAGATGTCGGGCTCAGCGGGAACGTAGAGACTGAACATCGGGCCTTAAGCGGTACATCTCTTCAGCAGGATCGTGACTGAACTCGGCCTAACGACTTCATTCAGACGTAGGGTACTGAACGTCGGCCTTAAGCAGGACGTCGGGTCTTTCAACAGACGTAGGGATCTGAACGTCGGGCCTTAGCAGACGTCGTGTCTTCAACAGACGTAGGGAACTGAACGTCGGACCTTAAGAAGTGTGCAAATGAAACTCCGGCGAGGCTTCGGTGGTGTCCGGCGAGTTCCTTCGGTGTCTGCAGTTCCTTGGTGGTCCGCGGGACTTCTGCGGTGGTCCGACGGTGGTCCGGAGCCGTCGAGAGAGGCCTTCTTCCTTCTCTTCTTCTCTCTCTTGCTTCTCTTGCTTGGCCCTCCCTTGTTGAAGAATGATGCTCTTATTTATAGATTTTCTGGAGTGGCATGGCCCTAAATAGGCTGAATCAGGGGCGAATAGGGAGTGGTCGAATGGACGGCCGATATTGAATCCTACGATTGGTGCACCATTCGTTGGACATTTGAAAGCCTTAGTGATGTCGGAATTATGTGATCTTAGATCGTTGGACTCGTCTCATCGAGTCGTTCGATTCAAGTATAAGCTCGTCAAAATCGTAAGTCCGTTTGTATACATCCAAATCGTTGCCTAATCCTATTCTCAATCAGCGTCTCTTCAGTATCCTTATTTCGTACTTATTGCCATGTTTTTGACTTGTTTCTGTTAGATTATCGGATACGTGCTCAGTTTGACTATAAGCTCGCTGAAATCGGAGTTCGGGAGCTCCTCAATTTAATTTTTGAAGTTTCCAACTGACTTTTTTTCTCGAGATTCGTGCCCGATCAAAATAATTTCATGAGAACGTATCAAGTATGAGCATCTGCAAGCTAATCATTAAATGATACCTGAGAAATAGCACACCACTATTTTTCAAATTTTCTCAAACAAAGTGAAAGTTAATGGCAATTTGCTTGATACACAAATAAGAAATAGGTTTATACATAAGTAGGTTGCACTAATATTATTATAATAGACTATTAGTATGGAGGGTAGAGAGACACTGAGTTCAAGAAGTGTAAGCTCCAAATTTTTTTGTTGTGCCCTGACATCTCCGCATGATTCGAGGAGAGTTTTAATAGATTAATGTATAGGGTGAGTTTTCGGAAGGCATATTGGTTAGAGATAAAGCACAACCTAAAATTTTTGTTCTCACTCGTGAGAACTTTAAGCTTAAGTTTCTCATAGGCACAATCCCCTATGGTTAATTATCCCTCTTGATGATGAAAGAGCTATTTCAATTAAGGCTTGTCAATAAATAGATAGTTAGTACCTGATTTATAGTAGAATTATTTTTAATATTTAAGATTTAAAAATCTACCATCATTTCACCTAATATGGATGGTTAGGGGGTAAGGGAATGATAATGAACTTGATTAAGATCTTATGGTTCCATTTTCATGGGTCATTATGGTCCCCACTCTACTTAGTTAGTGGAGATAGTTATGTTGTAATTTGGGAGCCTAACCTTGTATTTTGATGATTAAAAATTATTAGATATTTATTTAATTTCTCATGCTTTATACACTGCATATATTTTTCTTGAGCATTATTAACCCTTTCAGGTACAACATACATGAAGCAAGACTACAGATTCAAGGCTCAAAATTATGGTGTATTGGTGTGTGAATTAATTTATATCTCAAAGAGACTATAATATTCATTTTTAGTCAATATTTGTAATAGGTGTATGCTGATTTAGCAACCACGCACACACAAAAGAGGGAGTGTAATTAAATATTTTAATTTTTTTAGGATCATACTTGTGATGCATCATAATCTAATTTAGAAGAAGTATTCTTTTATATTTTAATATATAATAATTAGAGCTATATAATTTCTTTTATCAATATAAACACTAGTAAAAATAAAATTATCAATTAAAATATCAATATATACATATGTATTTATTTCTCAAAAGTCATATACATTACTAAAGATTTATATAATCATATCATAACTATTCTATCATGAGCACAAAAAAATAACTAAAATAATAGGAATCTAAACTTAAATAATCCTGGTCGATCTCACACTCTTACTCACTTGCCATGATTTGAAATTATTATAACTCGGGCTTCCGAGTTTATGATTTTGATGATAATAAATAATATTGATTACCTCTTTATTTCTCCTAGTATTTGTAGTGCATATATGTTTGTGTGTTAACTAACATTTTAGGTATAATATACACTATTCTTTGAAGATTCATGGCTCAAGATTGGATATAATAGGTTATATTAAAAGTGTATATAATTTTTATTTATTTATTTTTAATTTCTTGAGCCAAATCTTATAAAGGTGTATGCTAGTCTAATGACTATGCACACACACACACAAGGGGAGTAGAATTAATTTTAAATATTTTAATTTTTTTTATACATCATACTATAAGATCAATATCGTATTGGATAATCTATTATTATATAAATTAATTACAATATTTTATTTATCTGGGAAAATATTATTGAAATATAATTAATCGTACAGTACAAACACCACATCATACTGGATGATATGTTATACTTAGAAACTCCATTATTCATTAAATTAGGCAAAAATTTAAATTTGAAAAGTTATTCTATTAGTACT